CTCCTAATGGGCAAAATTAAGCTAACATGCACCATATTTTAAAAAAAATAATCAGCAATACTGCATATGAAATGTGCTATGTTCAGTTATTCTAACAGCTGTAAGTTCAATTATTTATAAGAACACCTTATCCAAGCTCGTGTTCTGTGCTGCCACTTGTTTCATTTAGTGACCTTTCACTGCTCCCTTTCTGCAGTCTTAACACTCACTGAAAAGCATGGGAAGGCTGTTGTCTTGTACAGAATTGGTATGATTCTTCTATGTGCACTGCTTGCTTATTCATAGTTTTTTCATGACATTATTCTTAGGAGCATAATGTCTTCTGAAGGAATGACAGGATGTTCTTTAACCCTTAAAATAGAAATGACAGGCAACATATTTCTCTCCATGTTTCAGGATAAGAGAATAATGATGCTTGGAGAGAGAGATGATTGCCTGGGTTAACCTAGAGCTGCCTCCTGTATTCTGGTTATTTTTTCCTGCCACATTTTATGTGATACAAAGTGAGAAGTACAGAGGAGTTGTGCTTTCCAGCAAGTTTCTTTAAGCAGAGGAACCCTCTGGTAGGAGGCACTGGCTGCAGTGCAGCCCTTTGCCCACTTTCCAGATTTGGGACTCCGCATTGCTGGCATGGCTGCTTGAGCAGAGCATCTGGGTCAGGGACACTGGTGGCAATGTGAGAAAGGGTCTGAGCCAGGGGTTTAACAAATGAGTGCTGTTAGTGATATGTGAGACCTGACCAGGTGAAAAGTAAGTTTTGTGATTCCTGATCATCCCTTAAGTCTGAAAGTTTACCATTTTTCTAAAAGCCTCAACTCCTAGATTATACTAACATAAATAAGATTTTGGTTTTTCATTTAAGTGCAGCCACAAAACATTTAAAGCTTTTGTATATGGGTAGAAAATGTTGAAAATGTAAAAAACTCAGAACTGAGAAGATAAAGCAGGAGCCCAAATCTCAGGAATATAAGGGACCTGCCCAATAAGTTTTGAATGCTCATCTCATGTTTAGCAATTGTTTTAAAATCCTATGCGAGCCATCAGAGCTGTCAATAATAACAAGAGAAGAAACAAAAGGAAATCACTTTTCCCCACACGCACATTAGACCACCAAAAATAACCACCGTCTGTGACTCTTAACTGAGATACCAGTGACTTAAGAGCGTGTGTCCTTACTCGGAACTATTAATGAGCTGTTTGTTACTCCCTGCCATTGTAGGGGGAGTACTCGAATGTTTAGAGCATGTGAGATAATCCAGAGACTGCTGTGGAAAGAAGTAGTTGCCACTTATCTGCATTCCTCCTAAATAGGCTTCTAAATGCACTGCTCTCTTTTCCACACCAAGTAGGGAAGGAGCTGCAGCCTTGGAAGAAATGTGCTGGGGGTGAAAGGGAGGAAGGAAGCGTTAAATGTCTGTCTAGAGGTATGACCAAAGTGGCAAGGAGTTGGTGGATGTTACATAGGGACATTGGCATGTTCAGGGTTACAGCTGCTGGCTTATGCCCCGAGTTGAGGAATTCATTACCTTTCATTGTGCTTTGAATGTTTGCAGCTTTGAAGCCTTTGTTGCTATGTCTGTCACATTTCAGGAAAGGCATGAATTCCAGTCTGGCAAGGAGACACGGGTTAGAGCAGGGAGCTGGAGGGAGACACTGTGGGGGGTGGAGTTTTTTTTTTTTTTTTTAAATTTGTTTTGTTTTGCTTGATCTCACAGTACCAGTTTCTCTGTTTTTAATATTGATGCTAGGGATCTAATTTTTGGTTCCCTTTGAAAGTCTTCCTTCTGAAGCGCTGCTGTGCATGCTTGCATGCATGTCTACAGGATGTTCTCAAGGGGAACTGGGAGCAGCAAATGTTTCCAGATCCACCTGCTCTCACAGCCCACGGACAGCCTGTCTGGCCAACCTGGCAGGGACTGCTCTGTCTAAGGATGTACCATCCAAACACTCACAGCACACTGACTTACAGCATGTACCTTCCCAAGTTGTTACAAAGGGCAACGCTTGGCTGCACTGGGGCTGTGGAGCCAGGTGTGCTATCTGGCTGGACCACCTATCTGGTCCCAAGAGCAGCCTTAGGGCTCAGAGAGTCCTAACAGGACTTCAGTATGTGCTTTGGGTTAAGCATAAGACAGGTAGAGTAACTCTGTAGCCCTGATGCAAAAAGGCACTGAAGCATGTTCTCAACTCCAAACATGCTGTTTAGATTGAGGAAATTATGGTGCAGTTGTTTCTACCTGGATGCAGAAAATCTGTACACAGATCTTCAACTGATCAAAATCAACTTTTAAATGGAGTTTCTGGAGTTACACCAACCCAGGCACTCAGGACTGGTTACGCTCACCCCGAGCACACTGAATCCATTCTGTGTTTGGGAACCTGCATTAAGTATTTGTTCAATTTGAGTGCTTGAATAATGCTGATTATTTTCTCAGTAAGTGAACACTGAATGCTTGTTACTTTAATTGAATTCCGTAATTGCTAGTAATGTGGGGATATGTGGAAAAGTACTTTTTCTAGATCTAGTTCTAATGAGTTTGTACACCTCCTCTATTTAATTTTAGCAAACTACTTTAATTATCACTTTATTTTTAACCTCAAATCACTTCTTGTGAAAAGTAATTTGTTCTTTTAAGGCCAAATAATTATGCTTTTTTTGGTGTGAATTCTTTCCTTAATGCTTTTCTTAATGCAGTGAAGGCCAGTACTTCACACTGTAAGCAAAGTCAAGACCTCTTTGAGTCAAAAAGACATCACTGAAATCAGAGTTTTATGGCAGCTGTGATGTCACTGTTTCTAAACAGAGGTGAGACAGTTTAAAAAGTACAAAGCATGGGGTCACAAGTTTAATTGCTTGGATACTGCCATTGTGGAAGGGGACCTGTGTTGCTCTGGGATTGCAGCAGCAGTGGACCCTGCCTTTGCCCAGACACCCAAGCTTGTATTTCCTCTTTCCTGAAAAGGTAATACACTAGATTCTGCTCCCCCACACCACCCCATTTTTTATCTTGTATACCAGAGGAAACCATTTGAGAATGCTTGGAGTGGAAGAAACTTTCTGTTGACTTGCATGAAGCGCATGGGGAGGGTCAGTGCTGAGTCAAAACTTCTGGGTACCAGCAACCTCCTCAGCTTCAGAATGGCTTTAATCCTAAAGCTGAGTTGAAACCTACTGCAATAGTGCCCCTTCTTGTAGTTTTCTCCCTGCCCTATGGAGGGACTTGTATTTATCCAGTGAGTTTAACTCATAACAATTTTCCATACATGCTACAAACCTCCTTAGCCTGGATAGCCCATCATTTTAGCCTGTTTTTTTCTGGTTTGCTTGAACTAAGGCATCTTTCTGTCACTGAAACATACAGAGATCAGAAAGACCATTATTATTATTAAGTATATTTGTCTAAATTTTCAAGCTGTGTCAACTTACAATTTCAGGGTACTTGCTGCTAATATGAAATGGTAGAAACAAAAAGCAGACACTGTATGGGTAGGCAAAATCGGGAAGCAGACCTTTAAGTTGGGCTCACTTTTTGTTGTTGATGGATTTTAGGTGGCACCCTCCACTTCATGCTGTGTTTTACTGGGATCAGCTTAGAGTTAGGCTGCATCCTGCTGAGCCTTCACCAACTGACAATGTATATCTTATGTGGATATTTTAATGAAGAAAACATTTAAATAATTAAGTGTTGGCAGCTGTTGCTGGGGTGGCATGCTGGAGAGCCCAGATATTGGCTGGTTTTGCAGACTGATCTGTTACTATATTTGCTTGTTGAATTTTCTTTTCTTTCCTTTAGAGTATCTGTTGAACATGCTCATTATATTCTGGCTGGTATGAAACAAATGCTAGTTAAGAATGGGGATGCTTGAGGCAAGAGAGCAAATTCAGCTCCCTGAAGGCAATTTAACATGTAGCAGGAAAACAAGTATCTCCAACTCTCCTGTTTAGTTTCTTGTTTCTCTGAGCACTTTTTCCCCTATACTTCACAGATTAGGGTCTTTGGTTTAGGCATGATTTCACAGCTTCAGATACCTATTTCTGTTCACGTCATGGAGGCCATTAATTGGCTGGAATTACACTTGATCTCACTCTCTTTAGTGCTAACTTTTGAGGGGGGAAAAAAAGATGGGAACACAAAATTGAAGGGTTTGTAATTCAACCTAGAACCTTTAGAGAGTTGAGAGATCTTGGCAAACACAGACTCGTTTTGTAGAAATGCCACTCTTTGACTCTTCAAACCAACATCTATGGTGTGACATTGAAACCTATTCATTTGCCGCAGGTATCAAGTCCCCACAGGAATGGGCACTGGGTATGAATAGGCCCCACAGTTCACCTCCGTAGACTGTCACGACCATGAAAATTGACTTTTTCTCCTCGTGGTCCCATCTGGTAGTTTTTGTCTTGAGTTGGTAATTTCACTGCCTTTGGTTCCAGGAGGATTAAAGCTTCTCATTTTAAAGTTTCACTTAGTGGATTCCGATCCTGATCAGTTGCACTGCAGGACTGGAAATGATGGGTGCATAAGTTAATACGCATTTTGACAAGTGTATCTCTTCTGTATTGAAACATGTTTCAAAGGAGAGACTGACTTTGATCTGAGCCACAGATCACCTTGAAATCTAGCAGTGGTCTAAATTGAGGGGTTTAGCTTAAACCTTTTAGTCTCAATGAGGATTTTTTAAAATTTATTTTTCTTAAAGGTGATGCACGTTTTATATACTAGAAGCTAGCCAGATTTGCACTTTGCCATATATAGACTGTTAGGCTTTAATCAATATCTCACAATTTAATGTTGAGCATTAGTCTTAAAGTCTGAAAGTAGTACCTATATTAGGTGGAAATACTCTTTAATTTCTGATAATTATCAGCAAAAAATGTAACTGATGGTTGGCATAAGTCCATTTGGGTTTTGAAACTAAATTTTTTTAAGAAACTGTGACTATTACCTTGACTTTTGTGATGAATGTTTAGCATCGTGTTCAGGGCTGTCTGGGCAGACATGAAACATAATGTAACCATTCTGCCTTTCACTTTAAACAGAGATAAACAAAATCCAGACGTGAAAAAGGCAAGTTCCTCCACCACAATGAGCTCTGGTAAGTCTGTGTTGTTTTCCATTTGCCCTCCTTGGCATTCCTTTTTATTACTAGAAATACTTCTCTCTGTTTCTGATGCAACTACTCTTTCTTTTTTTTTTTTTTTTTTTTTGAGTCTTCTTCCACCTCCCAGAAAAGAGTCAAAGCCCTTGAAAGCTCAGGGAATCTGACTGACTAAGGCAACAGTGGAATGGCTTTCTAGTAAAAACTGTCCTGGCTTCGTGTTTGTTGTTTCAATTTGGCCCATAATGCTAAAAAAATTACTAGAAACATCTTGAGCTGGAGTAGGTCACTTCAGCTTCTTTCACTTTGGAATACAAGAATTCAAAATTATTGATTACCTGAGAAGATTATCTGAAAGAATTTTATGTTTTAGTAGGGGTGACAAAGTTTTACATCTGGATAGGAAAAATCAGCTGTTCAAAAATGAGGGACCAGGAAACGGGGGCTGGTTGGGAAGAGGAAAGCTTCTGGATTTGTCTGGTAACAGGCTAAATCAGAGAGAAGAACAAAGCAGACGCCATACTGAAGTACCATATGTAGGACCTGTAGAATAACATTCTCACTTGATTTTAGCACCTTATCAAGTCTCGGCTAAAGTATCGTGTCCGGTTTATAGCACCACATTTTGAGAAAAATGTGAACTATTTGGAGAGTGTCCAGAGGAAAGCTAGGAGACTAATCTGTGTCTGAAAAACATGAGCTGGGAATTTGGCTTAAGCATTCAAAAGCTTCCAGACTGTGAAGCACTGGAACAGGTTGCTTTAGGGTGATGCTGGAAGTTTGTAAGAACTTGTTAGGCAAACATTTGTCAGCAGTGACAGAGGTAGATTTGTTTCTGCTATGGGTCAGGAATATGGCTTTAAATGACCCTTGGAGGTCCTTTCTAGCACTGTCTTTTGTGTTTCTCTGAATTCACAAGAGCCAGTTTTATTCATGTCAGCTGAGGACGTTGCAGACTTGAAAAATCTCTGTTAAAAATCTCATCACTCATCTGGATGCCATATGCACATACAGAGACAGTCCCTGTTTAAAAGAGACTGCGGTCCAGGTAGTCAAAGGGAAAGGAGAAACAGGGGTGTCATCCAAGGGAGATTTGTGTCTCCAGGCATCTCCTGAGATAGTAGGAATACTTCCTAGTTGCTGAATCAAGTAGTGCTGACCCATGGCATCCCCTCATGGTCAGAGGTTAAATTCAGTTGCAGAGGTTTTAACCCAGAAGTAATCTGCTGCTTCATTTATCTTACAGAACATGAAGAAATTGATGTTGCAAAAACTGTTGTCAATGGGCTGAGCAGCAATGGACAAGAAAAAGGTAGGTTAAGAGCTTTAGAGACATCTCTGCAGCTCCCCCTGCATGTCAGCTGCGTGATGATGTTGATTTCCCCAGACATTCACTACAGCAGGGGTTTCCAAATTTAGTTTGCTTGGCGACTGATACAAGAAAAGCCTTGTGCTGCACCATGCCAGCAGCAGCAGCATTTCTTAGCTGAACAAGTGTTCTTTGTCTCTTAAAGGTGGCGGGCTGGATTTACCTCTTTGTATATTTTTAGTGCTGTTTTGCGGAAAGCTGTGCACTACTTGTGGTACTTGTGAGCACCTGTGAATCAATATCTTAGTGTGTTTAGACAGCATGGGTTTGTGGGTGCCTATGTGTGAATCCTGTTAACTTCAGTGGGAGGTGAAGGTTTAAGCCCAGGATTAAAGGGCAGGAACTAACCATTTAAGTAACCAAAAAAAAAAAAAAAAAAATCTGTCATTTGCAGGAATGATTTAAAACCCAAACTTCCCTAAACAAACCAGTCGTCTTGTTAACACCAGCAGGCTTTGCAGTTTGCTGTATAGCATTATGTATTGTATAGTGATGGTGTGTGTTTTGGCAGGGTGAAAGTATGTGGTTGTATGAGTTGCTTTTCTACTGGTTTCATTTCCTTTCTTTTCCTTTTATGCCTTTTTATAGTGGTTAGTGTTTTGACTGCATTGTGCATGGATGAATTCAAGTCAGTTATAGAGCAGACCAGAATTAGGGTTGTTCCCTAAAGCACAGGCTGTTTGGATTTGGGATCTATTGTATTCACAGGGTCTCCAGTGCTCAGGGAGAAGCATGGAGAACAGGGTTTGATTTGGGTTCCTCTTTTATAAAAAAAAATTTAAAACAATTCCATCAAATTAAAAACTAATGATTTTATGAGGTTTGAAAAAATTCTATCAAGCTCTTCCCCCATCCTTTTTCTTGAGAGCCCTTTTCTAGGTTGATGAAGTATGTGCTTTCCACCTTTGCCAGGGACCAGAAAGATCTTCCACAAGAGGGGGTGTACACACCATCCTGATGTCAATGCCTCTCTCAAGCTGGCCCAATGCTCATTATTGGTGTGTAAAGTAGTAGAAATGTGGTTCCTCTTACTCCTGATTTTGCAGGCCTGAGAGAGATGGCATGGAATGTGAGGAGACATCCAGCATTTTCTGGTTAATACGTGCAGAAAGCTAATACATTTTAAAGGAGAGAATTCTGGCTCTGCAGAAATCAAGAGCACAACTCCAATTATTCTGGTGGAGCCATGATTTACAAGATATTTATCTTGGCAGATGCTGTTGAGCTTCACTTCTGAGTAGTTTTGCCTTTGCCCTTTTTCTACTCCCCCCTTCTTTTTTTTTTTTTTTAAAAAAAAAAAAAAAAAAAAAAAAAAGAGTTCCACATTAGCTGCAATACACAGTTGGAGAGAGAAAGTACCAGCTGTTTTGGACAGTTTTGTAACAATTGCTATAATTTTGCATGGTGTGATATATCGTTTTCCCTTATGTTACTACATCTAGTATAATTAGTGCGCTAGCTGATGGAGTCCAGTAGAAATCTCTTCAATTTACTGTTTAAATGGATGGATTTTTTCTGAAATTGGTATTTTGATGCTACCCTTTGGCATGGGACTATTTTCAAGACTATTTCACATTTCACTTCCTTCTGTTGCTGAACTTGTAAAATATGTGCCATCAAATCTGGAATTCATGTTAATGTGGCTAGATTAATGTTCCTCTCTCAACCTTTCAATCCTTAGTTTTTCACTTTATTTTGTTTTAACTGAGCCGTATTAATGTTAACATTTTTATTTTTGCATGTAGTGTTCCTCAGCTACCAAAATTTTTTGATGGCTTCTAAAAGCTAACGCTTCCAGATTCTTTTCGCCAGCAGCAGAGTGGCAGTCAGCAGTTAGTCAATTCAGTAAGCAGTTCTATATGCTGCATAAAACAGACACGTCCTGAATTAGGGCGAATGAAGGGATATTTTTAACGGTTGCATCACTGCTCTCTGGGCTGCTTTTGTATTTGAAATTTCCTGCTATTGTGTCTCCAAGTACATTAGAAAATTTTGTGGCATGCTTCCCAAACTCTGTTCTTCCCTTTTTGGATGTGCCATTTACACTTTTGTGTTTGCAGCTGTTGACGTCCCTTTATGTACACGCTCTATTTCTGCTGTTAAAATAATCCCCGTGAAGAAAGTGAAAACTTCTCCTCACCTAGTGCTGCCTACAGGTATCTTCTTCCCTCCTCCCCTGCCATGCATTAGTTGGCCATCTCTCTCCCTCCCCATCTCCCTCTCTCCCCCATCTCTGTCTCTCTGCTTCACCCACGCGCTTTGGCTAGTTTTCAGCTTCATCCTCTTCTCACTGTTTCCAGAGCTGCAGATTTCATCAGTAGGTAATAAAGTTAGCTGTTGATGGCACAATACGCTGTTCTCAATTATGCTGCTCCTCTGCAGACATAATTGTGTCTACTTGAATCTGGGATCATTGTAAGCTCTTCTACTAATGCTTGGTTATGAATAATATTGTTATTACAGCCTCATTTTGAACCAAACTCCTGATGAACCAAAGAATGCTTCCTGCATATCTTTAGCCTTTATGAAAGTAAATGGATATCAGAGATGGTATTTTACAGGTTCAAGCATTGTTCAACATTGGGGGGATTGTTTTGTTTTTCTGTACGTACACTGATGTTACAGAATCTTTATATGGATAAATAAGGATGTTAGGCTGTCTGTCACCCCCTTCCCAAGCACATGTTTTCCCACTAGAAGTACAAGATTATTTTGTACTTGGCTGGATTTGGACAGGCTAGTCTGGTTGGTACTGCTTGTCTCTCCTAATCTCACACATGTGCTCTGTTGGACTAGTACAGTGCTAATGTCATGTTTATTATCATCTGCTGGATTTCTATACTGAGAGATTCAGATTTGTGTTTTCCATCATTTCACCTAAATTGTGAAGGAATTCAACATCTTAGGTATTTGTCTTCCTCTCCCAAATTGCAATAGTCTGACAATATTTTATTTTCAAACGTTTTCAAAACATTTTAATTTTGTTGAGTTCAGAACATTTTTTTTTCTGATTCTTATTGTTTTGATTCAATATACAGGTCTAATATCTTGTATGAAAATAAAAAAAGTGCTTTGATTCCCAAATTTGATTCTCCTCCAATATTTATGGCATGGCAAACTCTTAAGTGTTTCCATTTCTCTCCAGTGCCTGTGAATGGAATCTAGGTGTAGGAGTGTAGGAGAACAGCTACCCTGCACTCTCCATGGATGTCTAAATCAGGCCTGGTGACTCCCAACAGTGTGTCCATGCCTCAGAATTACAGCAGTCTTGAAACTGGAGTCCCAGAGCTTAAACCTTTGTCCTCTGGATTGAAAGTGGATCCGGAGAGTCCTCGGGCTGTGTGTTGTGTGATGTGGATGGGAACGATAGCCAGAATTGGACTCTGGGCAAAAGGAATTCTGACCCTATCCAGATCATGTGAAAATCGGAGAAGTCAACTTCTGTTTCACCAGTCATGTGGGTGACCTTAAGGCATCATCAGTTGTGTGGTGTGAGTGCAAATGTGGTATATTTAAGGCTTAAGCAGCATTTGATATGTCTGTGTGGATGGTCTTTCCCCTCACGGAGGCTGCCTAAATGAACTAAAGGCTGAACTGTAGGAAAGTATCCTCTGATTCCTTACTCATTCCATCCTTTCTCCAGTCCTGAGTGTGGATCCAAAGCTGTGCTTTTTGTGAAATCCCTAGAGCATTGGAAGCCCACATAAAAGCTTGAACTGCAGTGATTCCAGCGTAGAGGGCTTTCGATGTGAGCCGCCAGGTGTTTGCCATTCATTGAATCTTTCCCCTTACCGCTGTTGTCCATCTGGCACTATTGATGTTTCCCTATACTGTTGCCACCTTGGCTGTGGTTTGTGTGTTTCACAACCTTAGCCAAGGCCTTGTCGTGGTCTACAGGCACTGTACGGGTGTGGATTTAATGGGGCATTATCCTACTGAAATCAGCCAGGGAATATTGATCTGCACAAACATGGGCTGTTCTCTGGGCAATAAGCAGCAGCCTTTGCCCCTCTGTCCAGTCTGAAGGCATAACTTTCATTATAGTAACAGTTCCTAGAGAGGAGCTGCATCCCTCCCCGTGCAGATGGAGGGATGCTATAGCAAGATCCTCATCGCATAAAAATAAAAATCATTGTGTTGTCATTTGTGTAACACAGCACATGCTCGGTACCTCTTCAGGCGCCCTGTGCGGTGTCATGGTAGGACTAGCACCTCTGTTTAGGTAGGTCAAAGTGAAATCTGATGGCAGCTGCAGCATCAGTAGTAGTGCATGAGAAAGGGAGGTGATGTGTTTTCCTGTGGAAGTAGCTTGGATAAGTGAGAGACTCTTTAGGCTTATTGTTTCTATAGGTATCTTAGAGGAAACAACTCTCCGGAAGGATTTTAAGTAAGGAGAGGAAGATAGCCTTGAAGTACTGGTTTGTTATTACTTAATAGGATGACAGGAGGAAAAAACCTAAATCCATGGACTGAAGTGTACAAAGGTACGCCTGCACAGAAGCTGTGCTGGATCGGGCCTCAGCAAGGACACTGACTGGTGTCTGGCTCACAGGGTGATTTGAACAGGTATATGTTAAATCTCCTTCTAGTTTGGGGGATTTGGGTTCCTATGTCAGAAGGTGAAACACCGCCATGAAATGGGGAGAGGGGGCAAGGAGGTGGCTTGCAGTGCCCTGCCTTTAGATCATATTCAGCGTAGTTACAACATTTTATCCTCCAGTGGTCATAAGACTTTTTTTTTTCCTCTTTCAGTCCTGTACAAAAAGCATTTTTAAGGCTTCAGCACGCAAATCATATTGCTTTATACCACTGTGACATCCCTATAGAAGGGCCACAGGTGTAATGGTAGAATGTCCTTGCCAGTACAATATCTCCACACAAAGCAGACCAAATAAAGCAAATGGACCTGTGAAATTTGGTTCAAACGCTCATCCTTTTTTCCTTCTCTCTTAGCTCTGTTACACTGACTCAGAACTTACTTCTACATTCACCAGTTACATGAATATGAAACTGCTTTGATTTCTCAATGCTTTAAATCCAGAGCTAATCTTCATCTGCATAAACATTACTAGATTGATTCACCCAGAGGCAGCTATGCTAAAATTACTCCATAGAGCTCTGATGGCTCCTGATAGCTTTGTATTATCTGTTTCGATGTGTCTCCTCTGTGCATGTGCATTTCCTGTAGAAACGGATCCCACTAAAGTCTGCAGCGGAAAAGGAGCTGTGACCCTCCGGGCATCTCCAGCCTATGAAGAGAAACAGAATATCACTTCGCCATGTCCTCAGGTTGTTGAGCAACCTGAAAGTAAGTGGGCAGAAGGTTAACTGGAATATGTTACTCGCAGTAAGCTCAAATGAGGTCAGTCCAGGGTCTTGGGGTGACTTTTTTTAGCTACTACTTAAAGCCCAAAATCCCATAGGATAGTTGGAAACCTTTTGCAAGAACCAGACCAGTGGAGGGAGACTGACTCCTCTTGCAGGTTTCATGACCACTCACTCATTGGCTTAAGTTTGTTTACAGCTCCCTTCTGCTGTCAGGAGGACCAAAAACTCTCAATCTTTTTTTTTTTTTTTTTTTTTTTTTTTTTTGTTTTTTTTTTTTCCCTTCCCCCCCACCCCGGCAGGCCCATGTCACCTCCTTTTATCCCAGGCGTGAGGTGGAACAGAAAGAGGCCAAGTGGTGCTACTGCCACCACAGCATTCACTTGGGTTGTCAAGGGAGCGGGGACAGCGTCCCAGACAGACAGTGTCGCCACAGAGCTCTGCCATCTTTCAATAGCAGATGCGTAATTACTTAATTGTAGGAGACAGGCAAAGCATAACAAACCTGGCCAGTGTCGTGGGTCTGGCAGAGAGGATGAACTCCCAAAGGCAAGATGCCGTTAAGGGGGGAGGGGTCAAACTTGCTCTTGAAAGCAAAGCATACATCGTTTCTGACTGTATTGTTGGAGGAAGGGCAACTCCATTAATTCCAGCCCCAATGTGCTGCTTTCTGCTCTGTCTTCTCCTCCCATTCTGCTCCACCCGTGACCTACCCTCTTTTCATGCTTGCCATTTTCTGTTTCTTCACTCCTACCCCCCACCATTGCCTCTCTCCTTTCTGTTGATGGCTTCATAAATTTCCAGCAGCCTGAATGGCAATGAGCCCATTACTATGGAAATCAGCTCATTAATACTTGCTTTGCTTACTCTCTCAGTTGCTTTATGAAATGTACTTTGGAGCTGGAAGACCTTTTTGCATATAACTTAAACAGCAAAACGGGTAGAGGGGTGGGTGGGAGCCCAGTGGGAGGTGGGTAAATGGGTGATGACACCAACGCATCTAGCTGCAGGGACTGGGTTGTAAAGTGACATCAAATTTTATAACTCCCTTCATGCACACGCACTTAGTCTGCAAAACCTGATCTATTTGTTGGCAGTCCTTTATCTCAGTTAATCATACATAGTGATGTTGAAAAGGATAGATATGTCTTCACAGCCTGTATCATGGCTGAATACGAGGTCCCTACATTTCCAGTAATTTGTGGTGTCTGGATGTCATGCTGCAGCTTTAGAAAGTAGCTAGCTGGGCTGCCTTTTTGCCTCTGAAATAAGAATGTCAATGAACAATTGTTTCTTCATTGCTCTGAATGAATTGCCTTGTGTTTACAAAGGTCAGAAACAAGGAGGGCATCATGTTTAGGGCTGGTCTCTATGGTAATTAGGCAGCCCTGTCAGAAAGCATTTTATGTGTGAAATGAAGTAGCTCAACTCTTAACTTCAATTGGTACATGTTTTCTGTAAATTTAACAGTTTATTTTTTTCCCCCTTTCTTTTCCTTTATGCCTATCCTCCACCCCCACCTCTTCCATCCTTCCTTTCTGTGAAACACTTAGGTCTGGAGCCAGAAAACCCAGAAACAGGTACAAACATTGGCTGCTATGTTGTTGCTTCTGTTGCTTTCTTGGAACTATTTCTTGTTGCCAGGGAAAAAAACAAAAAAGGAAGAAAAGAGTTCTCTCCTTTTGCTTGTCCTGTAGCTGGAGGGAATCCTCTGTGATCTGAGTTTTCCTTCCCCTCATAGATGATTGGAGGTCGTCATCTAACACTGATGCCAATGGGGATGCCCAACCATCTTCTCTGGCTGCCAAGGGTTATAGGAGTGTGCGTCCGAACCTTTCCTCAGACAGCAAGCCACAGGTAAGCCTTTCTTCTGTGACCCTGAGGGTGGTGATCTGGGTTCAAGCACTGGATTCATGGTGAGGAGTCCTGGGTTGAACTCCAAACTTTGCTGCAGACTTGGGTAAGTTGCTGTGCCTCAGCTTTTCCTACCTTTAAAATGGGGGCAACACTGATGTCAGCAGGGTGCTGTGGAGCTCATGTGTTTAGGCACGCCACAGTGCTTCCTTGGTGGATGAAGGAGGAGGACAACACTATTTGTTTGCAAGAAAAAAGGTGAAGTAGTCATCTATTACTGTTTTGTCTTTTATGTTGGTCTATTTCCTAGAGGTTGCTGCAGGCTGAAAGCAGGGTTACACCCTGCATTAAAAACAAGGTGTTGGGGAAATGCCTTTGATTTTTAACACTGTAACTGATACAAGCCAACAAGGGAAAGGTTATTTGTACCAGAATGGTAAATTGTTGAAGTCAATCTGTTAAGAGAAATGTAACTTCATCCTTTTTCTTTTGGGTGGTCAGTCTGCACAGAAGCAGTCTGAAAGCTGATAAGGAAACCCTTCGTTAGAAACCACTTCCTTGTGTGAAACAGAGTCCCTTTAAAGCTTTGTCCCCTATCAGGGTGACTGCTCCCATGATCAGGAACCTATAGCAATGCTGCAGAACAGACACCATTCCTGAAATTGTAAGTGAAAGTGGAAGAAGGCACAACTCAGATGGAGGCATGGGAAGGAGCAGCACCCTAAAGGAGAGACCTGTTTGCTGCCTGATACTTACAGCTGTCCCGTAGTCCCTTATTGATATTGTTGATGAACAGAGAGAGTGCTGATGCACATAGTACTTCTTATAGAAGTCTCAAGGATAGCTGTCCAAACTAAGCTGAAATGGAAGAAAATGGAAAACGGCAATTGCAGGTGGTAAATTAGTATTTCCTGATAATACTACGTAGTGGTAAAGTGAGGCTTCACCTAACCTAGGGAAATATTGTGGCACTCTGAAGTCTCCAGACTGAAACTACTGTCCTTTCAGGAATCAAAAGGAATGAACCTGTTTCAGAAGCAGAAGCCCTTCAGAAGGAGCACTTACCCACCCACTTCTCCACACCCTTACACGTCAGGGAAGGGGGGGAAAGAGGGGCAGCATGAGGACAGTAGGTTTCAGGACCACAGCTGTAATTTTATGAAGCTATTCTAGATCTATATCCATGTAACAAGAAGAGGTACTGGCCACAACCGATCAGATGTGGATGAATTTTAAAGGAGTTATTTTTTCAGATTTGAATGTTGCAATCTGTTAAGGCATCTTCATTCTCTTGTGTTGGCCATTTTAGCAGTGGTTTAGCCAGCCTTTGCCCACAAATATATGACAACAGGGCAACAGGGTGTGTGTAAAACCTACTTTCATAGTCTCCAGAGGGTTAATTTGCAAGAATGCAGGGAGCTACTGTTCACTAGGTGGGTGTTTTAGTTCTGTTCCTTTCAGTAGCTTATAGTTTTCAGCTACTGGCAACAAAGCCGTAAATAAAACATCTCTATTGCTAAGTTATTTTACTTCAAAACAGTTTGGCTTTCAGAAAAAATTCACTGTAATTGGAGCTGCAGTCAGTAGGCAGTTGTAGAGTTAGCAAGCTATATGTTGCAAAGTACCAAAACCAGTAAATCTCTTTTATTATTTCCTAGAAGCAGGATTTCTCTGTTTGGTGATCTTGATTCTGGAGGCAAATTCTTATGAACTCAGTTCCTCAAGAAACTTTAATTGTCCTGGTCTTCCTGAAATCATTTTTGGAACTGAAAAATCCTGAAGAGAATTCAAGAGCTAGCTTTTAGAAGGAAGAAATGCTGACTTTTTACTTAGCCAGCTGTGGCAGGGTATCATATTCACATCAGGTCTGCTTCATTAGCACTGGTGAAACTTTGCAATGTTCGTTTTTCAGCAATGCACTTAATACGCAGCAGAGATGGCCTAGGGCTCTGAATTTGGCTTTGCAATTCAAACATCCCCAGTGCTGGGAAGTATTTAGTTACACAGGCATGAGCCTGGGTTTAGTTAGCCAGGATGTTAAATCTTGACTCGGGCTTTCCCAGGGGCATGGTGGGTGTTGCTGTGCAGGCCTCTCGAAACAATACAGCTCTGAGATTTATTTAGCCCAGAGAGAGAAACGTGTAGGCAGGGACTTGGGAGCTGGGTAAAGTTTGCCTGCTGCAGTGAGCAGTGCTAAGAAAGAGAGAATGTGTGAGATGACGTATGTGAGTGAGTTCTGCACTGGCCTTCCAGATACTGGATTTGCTTTTTGTTCTTGCTGTATTAAAACCTGCTTAACCCAAGTCTAATGACTGAATTCATTCTTCGAATTTATTTATTTTTTCCTTCCTTTTTCCTTTCATTTGGTGCTGCTTCCTCTATCCCTCTCTTCTTTCTTGACTCTGCCTGGGCAGGCCCTTGCTCCTCCCCGTCCTCCTCTTCCCAAAGAGGAAAGCTTTGCATGGCGTCCTCGCACTGACACTAAAGTGACCAACCTGTTGCCAGTGCCCATCATGGACCGCGTGTACCTGAATGCACCCAAGCCTTATACACAGCGTGCATCACCAAATGCCAGTGCACGGTGTTATTTCTCATCACCTACCCCATATGGGGCCATCCCCAGTGGGAAGCAAGGCTTGCCAGCAGGGCATTCTCCCTCTTCAGGCCCTAAAGATGAGGTGCATGCTGGGCAGCCACTCTTGGAAAGACGCTCCTCGTCAGATGCATCATCCATACAACGTAACCCTGACAGGGCAGATCCCAGTAGTAAGGCTGGAATGAATTCCAGTCATGAGACGAAGGCGGATAAAAAGGTCACCAAACTATATGTAGCTTGTTTATCTAACAGCACTTGCTCAGCCGCATCTGAAAATTCCACTGGCACCGCACATGACCCAGCAGCCAGCACCAGTTTGGGCGCTGAGCTCACTCAGGCACCAGCCACCAACATTGTTTCCTCTGTAACAGATACTGGAAAGTCTCTTCCTGCTCCTCCTCCTCCTCCTATTCCTCCCAGGCCGTACTTTTACATTGTCCTCAGTAAAGACGCAGTTAGTTATGATGCGGGCCAACCCTCCTGGACTCAGTCGTCACCTCCGCAAGCTGTGAGGGACAGAGTGCTAGAGCCCCAGAGCACAGCTGCCACAGAGGACAGGATGAGAAAAGAGCCTTACCTTACTCAGCAGCGACAGCCACCATACAAGGCAATGGGACGCAGCATGGTACATGTTTTCTCCATAACCTTGTTTTCTTTCAGACACGTGAACGGTTCTTTAATTCATTACAATGTTCCCTTAATGCTTTATTCCCCTCCTACCTAATTTCTGAGCATTCATTGTGCCACCTGAGTCTTCTGGTCGTCTTCTCAATAATACTTAACACCCCATGTGCTCCCCCCCTCAACATTGATCTGTGTGTTTGTGCGTGTGTGGTGTTTCTAGGGGGTTGGGTTGGGTTGACGAGGATCTTTCTATTTTAGGGAGGTGTAAAGAAGCAAACTCTGTAATGTGATGGCTAGTGCTTCTCAAGTGATGGTGAATGCAGAGCTGTTCTGTGGTTTGACTTAGCCTCACTGCACAGAACTGGACAAGAGGGGTGGTGAGGGGAAGGAAGGTTCTGGGGAAAAACTGCGCGTGTTCATAGAGGCCAGGGCTGCAAGACTGAAGACGTACGTCTCCCTAAGGAAAGAAAATCTGTTGGGGCTTCGTATCATTTTGGGTGCATCCTTGCATGACACTATACGGCTGCGTTAGACTTTAGTCTAACCAATCTCCCCCATTGCATAACAACACCTTGTTTCCTACAGGATGCCACTGCCACCACCACAGCTCAGCCTGGAGTTATAGTAGTCCCCCTCCTCCAGGTTAATCCAGACAGACAGCAAGAAGGCAGCTCCAGCACTCCACCACCGCCTCTGGTTCCTTTTGGGCAAGGCTCCATATTCCCCGAGACTGTTTCTCCTGGCTCACCCTTGACTTTTCCGACTCTAGATGATTTCATTCCCCCACATCTCCAGAGGGGTTCCCACCATAACCAAGCACCCTCCGCATCTGGCACGTTACCCTCTGTTTACCCGAAACTGCCATTCTTCTCATCACCACCTTCACTTGTCCCTCCAGTCACGGGGGCTTTGCACAGGGGCTTGAAGCCTGAAATCACTGGAGTCATCTCACATACAGTAAGCTTGCCAAGTACCCTCCTCGCCCTTTTCCTAAATTTATATTCCCAGATTAAAATTACTTTCTCCTTGCAATACTAAACTTGAGAGAGGAGTGATGACTCGCTCCCTGCCAGCAGCATGACAACTGAAACCTTGTTTACGTCCTGTGCTCGTGCATGCGTGCTGCCTGCCTTGTGCAGCTTTGAACTTTCTATTGACTTCTCACAACGTTTGACTGTCTCCCTTTGTGCCCATTCTGCTAGGTGATGCACACCTTAAGAGTCTTCACAGGATTTGCTCAGAATAATTAATTCTGTACAAACAGAATAGCTGCAACTAACTGATCTCTTCAGGCTCTTTTAATAGCATCCTTAATTGTGTTTGAATAACATTTAAAGCAGCAACAGCAGACCAGTTAAAGGTTAGGGCTGGCTTTCTGTTCCGCTTGGAGCCACAAGACCATATGGTCTCTACACAAATCCCTGCTGAAATCAGTGTAAGATTGCTGCCAGTATCCAATGACTGACAAGCAATAATATCAGTTACTGTGTAAGAGTCTTCCAAGCATGTAGGTGCTATGGGATAGATTAGGGGGAGAGTGTCTCTTCAGTTTGGAATTGCTTGTCTTTGAAAAATCCGCAACAGTTTTAACTTGGAATTTACTGTGTTCTTCTTGGATTAGGTTTTGCTTCTCTTTAAGCCCATCACCTATTTTAAAAAGTCCTCGGGGACAAGGAGGAAAAGTAGCTCTCCGTTAAAGTTGCAGAGGAGGCAAAAAGTACCTGACCCTCCTTGTACTGGAAGTCTTACAATGACCATTTTTTAATACGGTTGCTTGTAAGGACAAGTAAGAAGTTCAGCAGAAATCCCCTTCTCTCATGATGATACTGTCTCTGCCCTCTGACTCAGTAGGGATCTAGCAAACAAGCATGTGGGGGGAAAAGAGAAAAAAACAGCAAAGGATGATATTTTCAAAAGTTTTCAGTATTGGCACCTCTGCTTCTGTTGAAATTGGTGGGGTTTTACTGCAGAGAGCAATGAAAGTTTGGGTGTTTGGGGTTTTGGGGGGTTTTGGTTTTGGGGGGTTTTTTTGTTGTATATTTTGGGGGCTTTTTTTCTAATGATGCCTATCTGCAGGCTCCAGAAAAATTCAGCAGGCATCCAAATCAGAGTAGTGGAAATTTTGCCGTACCTGATTTTCATGAGATGAGAGTTTTGAAACATTTTTGGTCATGCTCACTTCAGGCATGTAGTCACAGAGCTGTTTTCCACAGTGATGTAAATGGTCTTTGTTCACCCACTTTGACTTACCCTGATCTGACATCCCTCTTCTTTGAGGGGTTCTTTATATTTTAGTTATCAAAGTGAAGCTCAAACCAAACTCTCTCATACTTCTTCTCCCTGACTCCCACTCCTCTTCCCAGATTGCATTATTTGGAATTTTATCACAGCCAGCAAAATGGGGCTAGGTCTCTCTCTTAGGGACATCTATTTCTGAAGACCATTGATTCTTCTCTGTCCTCACAAAGTGTCTATGGCCTGATCAGATGCTGCCTGGAGCAAGACCACATCCATCCAGCAGAACAGGATTGTTCTTCCCTATTTCCCCTCTAGGTTGGAGAGACTGTAGGTGCTTGTTCTGATTATGGCCAATTCTCACTATGATTTATCTCCAAGCTCTGGTGCCAGGCCTCACTCTGGCTCCTGTTCAGCCCCCTGCCTGATCCTGTAAGTCCTTTCCCCTGACGCTGGTGAGTGTGAAGGGCACTGAGTTGCACTTGGCCAGAAAAGCCAGGAATAGGGATTCTTCTGGAGCAATATTCTGTGCGTGTTCAGGTTTGGTTTGTTTTTTTTTTTTTAATAGCAGTGAAAATCCCCCTGAATGCTCAGCTCCATTTTACAGATCAGTGGCCTGCAGCATTTCAGTCTGACAGTGAAGTAGCAGGAGTGCAGAAATCTGGTACGCTGTTCCATACTCTCTTTGTTTGGATGCTCATTCCCCATTAACAGTAATTGTGTGTCCAACCTTAAGAAGGTTTGAAAAATATCAGCCTAAACTGGCACACAGTTTTAGTCATCATCCCTTCTTTATCTTTTCCCCTTACTACCAACAAAAGCCCGATATCCCTGGACTGAGATTTTTCAAAGATGAACTAGTTTTTGAAGTCTCCCTGCTGATACAGCCTGTATTTCTTCAGAACAACCAGAGCTGTGGTGATAGAGGTGGGTTTGAAATAAGCAAATAATGGAGCTGGATGCTTTACGAGAGCAAGAGCAGCTTGCCATCTGTGCTCCAGCAGCAAAGCCATGTTGAGTATCTTCCTTGCTAGAGTCCTACTTTTTACCCTCTGATGTTATGGGGGTGTTTTATTTCATTATTTTAACCAGGTAGGTGTCACGCTTGTCTCCTGATTGATGGTGCTAACCTTATTTCTTGGACCTTCCTTACCAAACTAGCTGCAGTAATAATGTTTCACTCCAGAATTGCATGAGTTTTGCATGTCTGACTTCTTGCTACGAAAGGAATACTTTTAAAACAAATGTTTGTGTGTACATGTACTGGGGGAAAGATGTCTGCATCTTCCCCTCCCCAACCAGATTTGCTCATTTCTGGCACCCTGTGTTAGCTCCACAGAGTCTGCTGGATGAATTTAGTGCTTCCTTTTGGGGTTGGAGTTGTGAAACCCAACACCAAATAATTATAGTACTGCCTTAGCAAACTAATTGCATTAACAGCGAGCAGGGTACGTACAAGGAGCAGGGTAACACTCATGCTTATGCCTTTTTTTACTAAAATTTGCTGTGATTATGCTTCTCATTCAGCTTAAAATGTTGGGGTGGGTTTTTTCCAGATTTTCCCGGTGTAGCAGCCTTCTGCATACTGCTAATGATGTGTTGCTCTCCTTTTCAGGACCCAGGTCCTGTGCTAAATGAAGTGCCCCAGCCTGGCACTGGCACTGACTATCCAACCTCCTTCACTTCAATCAACAAGTCTTCTTCTGCCTATCCCTCTACCACAATCGTCAATCCCACTATTGTCCTCTTGCAGCACAATCGAGGTAAGGAGACTTGCATATAGATATTTGTGGCTCAAACTGAGCAACCTGTTATGCTACAAGAAACTGGAGAATGTGTGTGCTGTGGACAATTAAGTCCAGACTACTAAGAGCTAATAAAGCTGCCTCCAGAAAGTTGTAGTGACTGGAGCATACAACAGGCAAGTGAGAAGTCAGAGGCCTGGGACAATGCCTATTTTTTCCTAATTAAAACGTGTGGATCTGAAGCCACTGTGAGGTTGGGGAAGAGGCTTATAACTGGGCTATGGACGTATGAATAAGTTATTGCAGGGTAACAGCTTATCTCCCATCATGTGTCCTGTCATGGTGGAAAAAGGTGTACGCTCACATCTATCTGTCAGTAGAAGCAATGTAGCCTGAGGCAGGTTCTCCCTCACTGGAAAAGGGGATATGTTACTTCTCAGCTACTGCAGTGTGAAAGCAGCCATATTTTCAGTTACTGTGGGAGAGATTTGACCTCTGAATTCTCAGTAGAATTTACCCAATAGTAAATAATCTGTTTGCCCATAAGTTTGAACTTGGTAATTTGTTCCTCTGTCCATAACAGTTCTCCTGATGGCTGGCATTACCCCAGCCTCCCAGTTCACTGTGCATCACTAAAGACTGTAGCTTATAAAGGGCCACACAGATGCAGTCCAATTTGCCTTGGTTTCCAGTGGACTAAGGAAACTTAAGGACAAGCAGATTTCAGTCTACAATGCTATGACTTACCTTTTGCAAAGGGGAAAAAAAAAAAAAAAAAATCAGAAAATAGGGGCAAGGCCTGCGCTCCTCATATTCTAGTCATTCTAATTTCAGGCATGCATTGATGTGCTCAGACCCTCATTAATTTTTTTTCAGTGCCTTTTTATTTATTAGTAAAATCCCATATAAGTCATTACAGGGGTTTTTTTTTTGGCATTATTGTCGAGTTGACAGACAGATGTCCCAGCCATCACACTAATGCTTTTCGAAGGTTGTCACAACATTTTCTTTCTTCCTTGTCCTGTGGAGTTTCCTTTGTATTCCAAGACTTACTGAGGATGAATGTTAATGGTCTAATGAGCTGCTCTCTTCAGAGCAGAAAACTGCTCTAAAACTTAGTGCAGTTTATAAGAATGTGCTAATTTTCAAGCATCTGATCTCAGTTGTTGTCATTCAGCATAGTCCTTAGTTACTGTTGAAGTGGAATGTATTTCTCCATCAGGTGGTAGGACATC